ACATATTCTGTTACACCAAATACACAAAATAATGATCTTTAAAAAAGCATCATATGACCGCTTTAACTTTAATAATGACAACTTCCATGAATACAGCTCAGGCTATCTTAAAAAGAAATGAATATGTGTTTATATGTTTTAAAGACTGAAATTAAACTAGTGGACAAAAACATATAAAACACTTTATTTAAACATGGTATCGACCGAAATTAAGAAATATATCGTGATATCAATTTTGGCCATATCGTCCAGCCCTAACATGGTTGGAAATCAATATTCCCCCATTAAAAAGTAATTAAGATTCCCCTGAAAACCAATTCCATCATGTGTGTATATTACCTCTTACAGAAAAAAGTGAATTTCTGTGACTGCTGTACACCAGCATCAGCAGCACTAACAGCAGCAAATCTTCCAAACTGACTGCATGAGAGTTCCTCTTTTGCATCATTATGCAAGGCCCAATATAAAATCTGATCTACAGGAAACTGTCCAGTCATCACAAGCTTGCGTTCGCACAGTCAGATGAACTGATTCTGTCTGCGACCATGAAAATCCAAACAACCAATGAAGCACACTCGGCAAACTCTGTCAAGGCTAAACAAATGGCCCAGCAAGGACAAATTGGACCAACTTACATGCCTGAATTAAGAGGTTCCATTATTATTTAATTAAATACTGTTTTGAAAACAACCAAAACAATGCATATGTAAGCAGTTGTGCTTCAATTACAAAACTTACCATGTCAAGCACTGATTAGTGCATTGATAGCATAGTTAGTTAGTACAGTATTATTACTGTAACATCATAACAAATTATTATGAGGTCATACAGTGTAAGAAGCTTTTTGTTTTTGATTAAAATAGCAGATTAAACCCAAATTACCACAGTGTAATATTAGCAACAATAAGGTCTTTCGGTGATAACTATGGTTACCATGTTGTGTAGTAAGGGTTTATAAAACCAACACTAACTTCACTACCATATGGCCACAACTGGAGAGCACAACAGCGGTTTCATAATATGCACAAATAAACTTAATTTTGATCTTTACAACATGAGCAAAACCGCAACACACGTCCAGGATAACCAGCATGCTCTCAAAATAGACAGCTCACTATGTTTTGACACACAGCCACCATGGTGTCTAGTAAACAAAGCAGCTGGTCAGAGTCGATACATTAATATAAAATGTCTTCTGAGTACAAAACAAAGCACTTGAAACTACTTCAAAGAGGAAATAAATGATTAAACTCACCTTCCGGGAACCTTTGGGTTTCTCCTCCAGAAATGAACCCTGTTGTCGGTGGCCATGGCGAAAGGACGCCCAATTTCATTCTCAAACAGCCATGAAAGCGAACACCACGCCGTCAACCGACATGTGCAGATATCCAACGGCGAAAACGATATTTTTAGTTGTATTGCCGCAGGTGACTTACTTTGTTTCGATTAGTTACTTCGGGGATTTTGCCAACACAGAATGTGCCTACAGCGGTTCTGGATGGACGTCGCCATCTTGGAGGTGCGTGAGGTCGCGCTGTGATTGGTTGAAATGACGAACAGGTGCATGGGAGCGGACCAATGGGGTTTGAGTTTTATTAGACGAAGACGCGCGTTTTTAGTTATATATTTAGATTTTTATAATCTGTGTAACGATTTTTGCTTGTAATGATGTTTTGAAAAAAAATGCACACGCCTTTTAATGTACAGAACAACACAATATAGCCTACTGTAGAACATAAAGAGGACAGCAGTGTAATACAGAAGATACAGCAAAATAATAATTATTGCATGATTGATGCATTAACAGAAGGGTCTCGTATCTGCATTCCAAAAGTTCCACAAAGTCCTGCTACCAAAGTTCCAGAACTTTGTATCGCCCCTCCTTTGACGTTTGTTTGTAATTGCCATTATTCCAAATGATTATTCTCATTACATTCTCATCAGATTGCCGCAATACAGATATGATATCTGTATCATCCTATTTGGAAACATAGATTTTTTTAATGGGCATAAATTCAAATCAGTACACCAAATAATGCTATGATAAATAAATATTTCACAAATAATGCCATTGTTTATTTTTCCACATTAAATAAACGTGATTAATTCTCTTTTTAACCATTACGCATAACAATGCATTGGTGAAAGTGTCATTTCGCAGTTCCCCAATTTGAACACTAGATGGAAGTAGTCACCCATAAATTTATGGCGCTCTGCTTAGCTCTGAGTGAAAGTGACAGTTTCCTCTACTGTACTGAAGCCTGTAATTGCTGCAATATTCAACTTTTATTGAAATTGTTATCAGTCGAATTATTATTAGATTTTTTTGCAGACTTAAGTTTTTCGAAAACTGATTGTTTCATACCACAAACTGATTTGATTGTTAAAAACACAACTTTCAACACTAACCCACAATTTCCGCTTTAAATTATGTTACTACTGTATGTTGAAAAACTAATATTATTAGAGCCTTATCTCTCTGTTAAATCACACAATTGGCATCCACTTGCCCTGTGCACTGTACATTTTTTTTCAGGATTCTTTGATGAATAGAAAGATCCAAAGATCAGCATTTATCTGAAATAAGAAGCTTTTGTAACATTATACACTATTCCATTCAGTATAATTTTTATTATTTTTTTTGGGAAAGAAATTATAGAAATTAATACTTTTATTTAGCAAGGATGCTTAAAATTGATCAAAAGTGATGATAAAGGCATTTATAATGTTACAAAAGATTTCTATTTCAGATAAATAGTGTTCATATCGATATCGGAATTATATCGTATCGACCGAAATTAAGAAATATATCGTGATATCAATTTTGGCCATATCGTCCAGCCCTAACATGGTTGGAAATCAATATTCCCCCATTAAAAAGTAATTAAGATTCCCCTGAAAACCAATTCCATCATGTGTGTATATTACCTCTTACAGAAAAAAGTGAATTTCTGTGACTGCTGTACACCAGCATCAGCAGCACTAACAGCAGCAAATCTTCCAAACTGACTGCATGAGAGTTCCTCTTTTGCATCATTATGCAAGGCCCAATATAAAATCTGATCTACAGGAAACTGTCCAGTCATCACAAGCTTGCGTTCGCACAGTCAGATGAACTGATTCTGTCTGCGACCATGAAAATCCAAACAACCAATGAAGCACACTCGGCAAACTCTGTCAAGGCTAAACAAATGGCCCAGCAAGGACAAATTGGACCTACTTACATGCCTGAATTAAGAGGTTCCATTATTATTTAATTAAATACTGTTTTGAAAACAACCAAAACAATGCATATGTAAGCAGTTGTGCTTCAATTACAAAACTTACCATGTCAAGCACTGATTAGTGCATTGATAGCATAGTTAGTTAGTACAGTATTATTACTGTAACATCATAACAAATTATTATGAGGTCATACAGTGTAAGAAGCTTTTTGTTTTTGATTAAAATAGCAGATTAAACCCAAATTACCACAGTGTAATATTAGCAACAATAAGGTCTTTCGGTGATAACTATGGTTACCATGTTGTGTAGTAAGGGTTTATAAAACCAACACTAACTTCACTACCATATGGCCACAACTAGAGAGCACAACAGCGGTTTCATAATATGCACAAATAAACTTAATTTTGATCTTTACAACATGAGCAAAACCGCAACACACGTCCAGGATAACCAGCATGCTCTCAAAATAGACAGCTCACTATGTTTTGACACACAGCCACCATGGTGTCTAGTAAACAAAGCAGCTGGTCAGAGTCGATACATTAATATAAAATGTCTTCTGAGTACAAAACAAAGCACTTGAAACTACTTCAAAGAGGAAATAAATGATTAAACTCACCTTCCGGGAACCTTTGGGTTTCTCCTCCAGAAATGAACCCTGTTGTCGGTGGCCATGGCGAAAGGACGCCCAATTTCATTCTCAAACAGCCATGAAAGCGAACACCACGCCGTCAACCGACATGTGCAGATATCCAACGGCGAAAACGATATTTTTAGTTGTATTGCCGCAGGTGACTTACTTTGTTTCGATTAGTTACTTCGGGGATTTTGCCAACACAGAATGTGCCTACAGCGGTTCTGGATGGACGTCGCCATCTTGGAGGTGCGTGAGGTCGCGCTGTGATTGGTTGAAATGACGAACAGGTGCATGGGAGCGGACCAATGGGGTTTGAGTTTTATTAGACGAAGACGCGCGTTTTTAGTTATATATTTAGATTTTTATAATCTGTGTAACGATTTTTGCTTGTAATGATGTTTTGAAAAAAAATGCACACGCCTTTTAATGTACAGAACAACACAATATAGCCTACTGTAGAACATAAAGAGGACAGCAGTGTAATACAGAAGATACAGCAAAATAATAATTATTGCATGATTGATGCATTAACAGAAGGGTCTCGTATCTGCATTCCAAAAGTTCCACAAAGTCCTGCTACCAAAGTTCCAGAACTTTGTATCGCCCCTCCTTTGACGTTTGTTTGTAATTGCCATTATTCCAAATGATTATTCTCATTACATTCTCATCAGATTGCCGCAATACAGATATGATATCTGTATCATCCTATTTGGAAACATAGATTTTTTTAATGGGCATAAATTCAAATCAGTACACCAAATAATGCTATGATAAATAAATATTTCACAAATAATGCCATTGTTTATTTTTCCACATTAAATAAACGTGATTAATTCTCTTTTTAACCATTACGCATAATAATGCATTGGTGAAAGTGTCATTTCGCAGTTCCCCAATTTGAACACTAGATGGAAGTAGTCACCCATAAATTTATGGCGCTCTGCTTAGCTCTGAGTGAAAGTGACAGTTTCCTCTACTGTACTGAAGCCTGTAATTGCTGCAATATTCAACTTTTATTGAAATTGTTATCAGTCGAATTATTATTAGATTTTTTTGCAGACTTAAGTTTTTCGAAAACTGATTGTTTCATACCACAAACTGATTGTTAAAAACACAACTTTCAACACTAACCCACAATTTCCCCTTTAAATTATGTTACTACTGCATGTTGAAAAACTAATATTATTAGAGCATTATCTCTCTGTTAAATCACAAAATTGGCATGCACTTGGCCTGTGCACTTATCAGAAAAGCAATAGTTACAATAACATTGTTTTTTTTATTTTGTTTATAAAATAAAAATTTCTTAGAATGACAAAAAACGAGGTACCAGCTTGATACTTTAATACAACGTATTGTTATGTATTGTATGTATATCGTAAAGCAAATGGTTATGAACTGATGATAAATTAATAGTGCTGTATTAAAAATCCAATGAGAACTGAATGCACTATTAAGTGTTTCTATTATTAGAATGATTATTAATAAAAAAGTTTAAAAATAACAACAGCTGCAGATGCATGAGCAAAAAAGTAAACATGCCTAAGGCAAAACAATTATACATACATCCTTAGTGGAAAGTTGGACATAATACTTCCTGTGAACTATAGATGGAAAATAAAGCGCTGCTTGTGATTCATAGAGCCTGTGGCCTCAACAAGGGCCCTTAAAAGAGAAGAACTTCCTACAGTAACCTTACTCCCAACACCGAGTTTATCAGGGTTCATTTACAAAAAGCTGATAGGGAAGTATTATGTTTGTGTCTGTAATGGATGTGGAAATGAGCACTAAACGGTGTGAATGAGTTCACTCCATTACTATGTTTGTGTTTGAGACCCTCCCGCTTGAAGAATTGCCCCCTCATTAAAGCGCTTCCTTTGAATTCATTCAGAGCGGCGGACACACACGCCACACATGAACCAAACAGATGAAAGGTCACGTTGCCCCCGTCCTAGGCAGCCATGGCATCTGTGGAATGCTGCTTTATTTTCCTCCTAATTCCCCTGTGTTTGGGGTTTTTTGTTGAGTGAGTGCAAATGTGTGTGTGAGCTGTTGGTTCTTCAGCACCACACGCTCTCCCAGAGTGGGGTTATCGAGTGCATGCACCATGCGGTTCTGTCTCGTTGGTCAGCAGACTGAGACAGGAAGACTTGAAAGACAATATCTTGCTTCAGCAGCATGTATGTCACTCTTCTCCGAAGAGAATTTATAAGGAAAAACTCCACATAAGCACTTCAAAGCTCAACCAGAGAATGCTGTTGCTCAGAGGTTGCTCTTTCATCGACTTAACTGAGATATAAAAGATGCAAATGAGACAATTGTTGACATATAGTGAGGTTATTGAGCTGTAAAATGATTGTTGACAGCACACTATACCCTACAAAGGTGAATCATACATTTTTATACATGTTCACGTTTAGTCAAAATTGAGTTATGACCAAAATTGTGTGCAATAATCTGTCCTGTAGTAGATGGATTTGACTCTGAAAACTGATGTCAAATAAAAAACAAACCATTTTTCACAGTATCACAGTTACAGCATTGGTGTAGTTTTTGTTTTGTTTTGTTTTTGCAAACTTTGAGTTTATCATAATTTGCCCCCATTCCCCTGGTTAAAAAGCACTGATCTTGAATTTTGGAAATTGGCAATGATGTGACAGAGAGGGATATTTACATCGACATTAAGACTTATTGTCACTTGTTTTTGAATCCAGGACCAGAATTCAGGCCGTGGACCTGTTTAAACCCTCAAGCATATGTGTGTGTCTTTGTATGTTTCCTGTACCTATATTTTGCATGTTTGTTGACATTTCCCTTTTTGAATACCCAGCTCCTAATGGTGTCACTTTTAGAAACCCATGTTTGAACTTTAGTTCAATGTGATCTTAGTACTCGCCCTTCATGTTAGTACACATTTCCCCTCAAATATAAAGGCTGGTTTACATTTTACTGAGATATTTATACAGCACACAGTGGCCTGGCTCTCTAATACTGACCCTTAATAAGTCATTCCCTGTTTCTCTCACTTCCCAAATATCCCTTTCCTCATACATTTCTCTCTCAGCTGAATGGCTGGAGGTGTTTGTGGAAACTAAGCCAGATGGCTGCCTGCAAAGAGAGATGGTTTATGGGGACAAAAATCTGTCATCACGGTCTCTGTGTCCTTACTGCTGAGACTCATACTGCTATTCAGACTGGTAATCAGAAGTGCTCTCAAAACAAGGGTATTTGCGTGATGTTTGTTAAAAAAAAATTCATTTCATAGATCGGGCAGCTCAAACAAAGCATGTAAAAGATTGTTGACTGAACTATTTGTGTTGAAAATCTGTTCACCCAAAAAAGAAAAAAAGAAAAATCTGTCATCATTTACACATCCTATTGTCGTTTTACACCCGACTTTCTTCTGTGGAGAAAAAAAGGTATATTTTTGATTTAGTGCTTTTTTCCCCCTCAGTTTTCTCAGCTGACACAGCTGCTCATTTCAAGTCAATATGGCGCCGCCTGTGAAGGGGTCCATGCCCCATGTAGAATAAAACTTCTTCTAGTGTATATCTGATATATATATATATATATATATATATATATATATATATATATACTTTTTTCAGTACGCTATTTATTATTAGTATTTTTAAGTTGTTCTTTTAATATTTTCATTTTTCATTGCTTTTGTCATTTTCATTATTTTCAGTTTTTTTAATATAGCTTTAATTCATTTTCATTTAAGTTTTAGCTTAATTTTTAAGTACTTCAGCTTAAATTTATTTCTGTTTGTTGCCAAGGCAATATTTATTTCCATTTAAGTTTTTAGTTTTTTCATCTAATATTTGCATTTTATTTTTTTGCAGCTTTATTTCAATTAGGCCTACCAAAAAATTATTTTAATAGTTTGTTTTAATTAACATTTCCATTTTAATGTTAGTTTAAGTTTTAGTAAAATAATTATGCGCTTGTCAAGTTTTCGTTTTTAAAAAAATATTTCTATATATAACTTTAATTAATTTTTATTTCAGTTTTAGTCATTTTAAACTTCAAATTTAACTTATTTCAGTTAGTTGCCAAGGCAATATTTCTAATTTTCATTTAAGTTTTTTTTTTCATCTAATATTTATGTTTTAATTTTATTTCAGCATTATTTCAATTACTGAAAATTATTTTTATTAATTTTACCTTTTTTTTATTGATAGCCACATGTGAGATTACTGCATTATTTTTATCAGGATACTTGCAAAAGTCTTAGTTTGCTCTCCATTTTAATCTCAATACTATTCTGGAGAAATAAATTCTTCATCTCAACTAGTGGAGCATGGTGTAATTGTATTAATTAATTAATTTATTTATTTATTTATTATTATTATAAAAAAAATTTTGCAATGGATTTTTTTAGGCAATAAAAAACTCAATACTATTAAATATAGTAATTCCAAAATATTAAAACCCAGCAACATCCTAAATGTAAACTGTGAATGCATCTAGATAAATGCATCTGTCAAATGCATAAATGTTAATGTAACAACTCTCTTAAAAATATTTTATTTATGATATTTCTTCCCTATGGGCATTTACAGTCCACATAATAAATGCAAACTAAAACATTAATGCATCTCAGTGTGTTCTTTCAACCTGTCCTTGCAGTTCATTCAAAACTGAGGTACATATATATATATATATATATATATATATATATATAATCCCATTATAACAGGTCTGGAATCAATATAAAACGTCACTGTGCTCATTTTATCAGCTTAATGAAATAATCTGAACTAAAGCAGATTCTTTTTTCCTCAATGAGAACATCTTGTTCCTCCCCAAGGCCTGCTTGACACATTGATATCGCCTTCCATAAGGAGTGTGAACACAATAGCTCCATGCCAAGGACATGTAGTCTCTGTCTGCGCCACCCACAGACTGAGGAGAGAGTTAGTCACTGACTCCATCCTCCTCAAAGGGTGTGTGTGTGTGTGTGTGTGTGAGTGTGCGTGTGTGTGCACCTGGTATTCATCACGTTATGGGGACCAAATGTCCCCACAAGTATAGTAATACCAGTCAATTTTGACCTTGTGGGGACATTTTTGTGGTCCCCATGAGGAAACAAGCTTATAAATCATACAGAATGAGTTTTTTTGAGAAAGTAAAATAGCACATTCCTTCCTGTAAGGGGTAGGTTTAGGGGTAGGGTTGGTGTAGGGCAGTAGCACATACAGTTTGTACAGTATAAAAACCATTACGCCTATG